AAAAAAAAATAAAAAAAAAAAAAAAAAAAAAAAAAAACAAATCCTAAAAGCACTAATGTTTTTTAATGTTTTTATTTTTGAGAGAGAGAGAGTGTGGGTGTGGGTGGGGGAGAGGCAGAGGGGGAGACAGAATCTGAAGCAGGCTCCAGGCTCTGAGCTGTTAGCACAGAGCCCGATGCGGGGCTCAAACTTACCAACTGTGAGATCGTGACCTGAGCCAAAGTCAGACACTTAACCGAGCCACCCAGGCACCCCAAAAGCACTAATGTTTATTCCCTACCCCCCAACATCTTATGTTTTTGACCTCAACTGACATTTTTGTGTATCCCTTACAATACTATTTATTGTAGTTCTAATTAATCTCACTAGTTTTGTCTTCAGTCTTCATACTAATTTGTTTAAGTGCTTGCTTAATTGCCTTTACCAGTGACATTTTTTTCCTTTCACATATTTTTTATTTCCAGTTATGGACTTATCTGCTTAACAAAGACCCTTTAACATTTCTTGTAAGGCTGGTTTAGTGGTGATGAACGTCTTTTGCTTTTACTTGTCTGGGAAACTCTTATCTTTCCTTTGATTCTGAATGTTACCCTTGCAGGGTAAAGTATTCTGGTTATGAGTTTTCCCCTCTCAGGATTTTATTTTAAATGTTTTTAGTGTTTGTTCATTTTTGAGAGAGCATGAGCAGGGGAAGGGCAGAGAGAGACAGACACACAGAATGTGAAGCAAGCTCCAGGCTCTGAGCTGTCGGCAGAGAGTCTTGACAAGGGGCTTGAACCCGTGAACTGTGAGATCATGACCTGAGCTGAAGTTGGCTGCTTAAGCGACTGAGCCACCCAGGCGCCCCTCCCCTTTCAGCATTTTAAGTATTACCTTGCCACTCCTTTCTTGCCAGCCAAATTTCTGCTGGAAAATCAACTGACAGTCTTATGTGGGTTTCCCTTGTATATGGCTCTGTTTTGCTGCCTGCAAGATTTTTCTCTTTACCTTTTTCTATTTTAATTATAATACATTGTGGTGTGGCTCCCATTGCACACTTTTTCCTGGGTGTCTGCTTCCTTACCCAGATTAGGAAAGTTTTCAGGTATTATTTCTTCAAACAAGTTTTCTTCCCTTCTGTGTTCTTCTGGGACCCCTATCATGTGCATGTTAGTACGTTTGTTGTCCCAGTAGTTTCCTAACCTATCCCCACTTTTTAAATTCCTTTTTTGCCGTTTGGCTTGGATTCTTTGTTGTACCCTTCCAGATCTCTATCCATTGTTTTGTATCCTCTAATCTGTTGTTAGTTCCTCCTAGTGGATTTTTCATTTGTTACATTCTTCAGCTAACAAGTTCTTGTTTAGTATTTTCTCTTTGCTGAGGTTCTCCACTCTTCTCTCAAGTCTGATGAACATATTTATCATTATTTTGAACTCTTTTACAGGTAGATTGCTTATCTCCATTTTGTTTTGCCTATTTCTATAAATTGGGCAGAACAGCTTCCTCTCCCAGCCTTGAAGGAATGAGTGGCCCCGTGTAGGAATGCCTGCGTAGACCACACATGCTTGACAACTTTGGATGGTAAGCCGGAAAGGGAGCAGGCATAGGCCAGGGGTATCCTGTGCACACTATGCCAGGGTCACCTTTGGGGCAGGGGGTGGGGGGAATGGCTCAAGCTCATGGGGGCCTGAGGCTCACTGAGGTGGTCCTAGCAGGCTGGCTAGAGTGCCTGGACCCTGCTCCAGTCTGCACTGTCAAGATGGAGGGGGAACATAAACAGTGGCAATCACCAGTGCTTCCAACCTGAGTCCCAGCAGTTGCCTCACCATTTGTCTGACACTTTGGGGTGAAATGGTAAATGGAGTAAACGGGTCTCCTTCACTCATAGGCTAGTTGCCCTTTAAACCATTTTTTTTTTTTTGCTGTGCCCCAGGGCATGCGAGTCTGTACACAGTCCCCTCCATGAAATATTTCCCTGTGTAGTCTGTTGTACTGGGGGTGGGGTTCCTGTCATTACTGTGTTGGGTCTCTCTCCCACCTGTCTCTCTGTGGTCCTGCTGTCCTCCGTGTACAGAAGCTGTTCAATCAGCCCTCGGTTCTTCAAGAGGAATCGCTTTATATGTAGATTCTAGTTCCGCGACCTCCCTACACCGCCATCCTGGACTACCTCCCAAAAATTTAAACTTGTATTTGCCAGAGTCTATCCCCCAAGAAGAAAACTTTTAATTTTGGAGAAGTGGTCTCCTCGGGTTGTCGTCTTCACCAATGAGACACAGACTCGGGAATTTAATACACCAAGACGACAGGCTTCTTGTACAGAAGGGCTTGTCACTGGAGACACAACAGGAACTACAGTTTTCCTGCTCTACCCCAAGCCTGTGCAAGTAGGTATACAGGAGGACATCCAGCAGCAGTCTGCTGGAAACTACAGTGACCTCACGTAAAATGTGAGTAGTAACGTACTTGGCTCTCTACCGCTCACAGGATGTATTCAGAAATCATTATTTAATCCTCAGCAATTTTTGGAGCGGAGCATCATTCCCGTTTTAAAAACAGAGGTATGATTTGTGTAACTCCCAAGTCCAGTGCTGACTCCTATTCACTATGTGTGTGTAGCAAGTGCCTGGACCACTCAAATCATAGGAGACAAAACATACCGGTTACTTCACCTTCTTCGCCTCAGCTATAAAATTTAACTTTTTATTATCCTCTTTCACTTCAGGTGTTGTGTTGAGTGGGAGAAACTGAATGAGACCGGTGGTGAATAAGTGGCAATAGATTTCCACTCTAAGAATGCAGAAAACAAAGTATTCTAAAGAAGCTACATGTACAATATTAGAGAATTTTATCCACTGAAATAATATACGAGAGCTTATGGTCCAAGGAAAATACAAATTTGCTTTATTTCAATACAGTAACTTCCTTCAGTTGGAGCACTGGCCAAAATTCAATACTGATACAAATATAAATTGCTTAGGAGGTCAAAATATATAATTTAGGCAAATTTTCTCAATTTCTTTTAAAGGCAGAATTTTTAAATCGTATGAAACAATTAGAAACAATGTAATGTAAATCAACAAACGTGTAAAATAAGCCACAGTTCAAATTTAAGCTGAATAACATTTCCTAATATTGAGAACATTGCACATATTTTCAATAACTTAAAGGTCTACTCTTCCCATCTCCACTTTTTACTAGATTTAAATAAATCCAAGTATTTACTCATGGTAGAAGATTCTGCGTTAACTACAGCTGAGTTTAGCAGAAATACAGAAAACCATAAAGTTTTATTGAGCATTCCCAAATGAGCATGTACAGCATTCCTCGGAAGCCCTCCACAAGAACGGCTTTTCTCCTATGAGCACCTAAGGGTTGCTGCGTGGTGTAATTCAACAGAATAGCAGACCAATGATAACTTACAGGAAATTCTTTCACCTATTAAGTGTTTCATTATAAAGCTACTACATTCAACCAATATTTTAAAAAATTTCAACTCCATTATGCTGCCATTTATATTACATATTAACTTAGTAACAAGCCATCTTTATGATGCCTTTATTAAACTGGAATAGAAAGATGGTACATTCTGGTTTTCACTTGTTATAGATTTGATTCAATAATTTGATTTCTATCTAAAAACTACATTTTCTTTCTCAGCACTGGAGTGAAAGCAGCTTTTGTGGTCTTTGACTTTCCTTTAAATGAAAGCATTATGGAATTTTCAGCAGTAAACATTATCTGGTTCCTACTTGAACCCCCATCTCTAAAGAAATGTGAGAGGGGATCTAGGGTAAAAGTCCTAAAGTCCTATTCAAGGCAAAAAGGTTCCAATCCCAAATTTTTCACTCGAGCAACTGTGTGTTATACCAGCTGTTCCATCACTGAGTAATAAATCACTGACAGCTTCACTGACGTCATTATTACATTTTACGTACTATTTTATACCCAAATATATGCATATAAAACATTTGCACAGATAAATTAGTGTCAAAAATTAAAAACTCTACATCTACAATGTCCTTTCCTCTGAAATCTATATAATTGTTAAGACTAGAAACCTTAACATCCTGGCTACACATTAAAAACCTGTTATGGAAAACTTCAGAACCTTCTCATAAAAACAAACACAGACTTAGAGTGCTTTTTTATTAGACCTAAAGGAGACTACTGAATACTAAATTCAGGTATTTACTAACTAGTGTTGATTTCTACTAGCCAAATAGCCCTAACAAACCAACAGCTGGAACAAGGATAGTTGTTCTTCAGCTATTATTAAGTTGAAACATTTTCAATCAAAGCCTTCATTTTTCCTGTAGACTTCAACATGTGCGGCCCAAACTAAAAAGGAAACAAAGCGTAAATAAAGATAGTGCTTCAGGTAACAGTAATGATACGTCCCCCTCCTAATCATGGAGCAAAGGCCTGGGCGTGTTCTGCATGAAAAACCAAGCAGCTAGATGATATTAAAACCTTCATGAATTGACAAACTGTCTTATAAACATGACACATCAACAGAATGAAAAGCAAAAAGGTAACCAAATTACTTCACGGAAAACTATAATCATCTTAAGACCATAAGCTTTAGGCCATTTTTACTTCTCTGAGTAAAAGAATGAGGCACAAAGTTTCCTTTTTCCAATGTCTAAAAACTCTGAAAGATGCTAGAATTTCTCAGATACCTGCCTCCCTGGAGTAGGTAAGCACATATTCCACACGACAATAAATACATTTTACTGTATTTGGTAAAATACAGTAAATTTTTTTTATACATTATACTAGATAATGTATACTAGATAATTTATACAATTGTATAAATTGTATAACTTAACTGTATAATTTATAATAATATATAAATTAATATTTGGAAGTTTCCCTGATCTGCTCAATCTCCACCTATGACCTGAAACATCTTAAGACTCAGGTCAAATCTCATCCTCTTCAGAGAACTTTCACAGGACACCCTAAGGGAAAATTATCTTTCTTTACTTTGAATTTCTCAATCACCACATACATACTGTCTTAAGATATAAATTTTACTGTAGTGAATTTTGCTTTATTGTGGTTACGTATAAATAAAACACAGCATGAAGAATTTAACACTGGAGATGCTAAGTAGCGAAACCAGGGTTTGGCTTTTGCTTCCTTTTTTTTACCTTCTTCTATAATCTACTTGTGGGGAGGGACTAAATCATGTAGCACATTCTTCTCACAGAGCCACAGCTCAATGTCTTACCAAATGCAGGTTCTCAGCAACGGAATCAACTACCATGTTGTGCTAAGACAGAAGTGTGACCTAATACTCACCAACACTGTTTCTGAGGTGGCCTCTGATTCAGACTTTGGAATTCCTTTTTCAACTTCACCTTGACTATCACTTCGATATCGAAAGGCAAATTTCTTTTTCAGAGCCTCTGCTATGAGGGCAGCAGGGTCGGTAGCATCCACAGGTTTGGGCTTTAGATCCTGTTCTGACCTTAGAGAGATGAATAGAAGCCAAGAGGACTTTTCAATATGCTGACATCCCTCAGAGAAGTACTTCGCGTGCCTTTACATGCACTTCTCGAGCATCACTGATACCCAGGAAAGTTCCTGACAAACACTGAGAGACACGAAACAGAAACCCTAAATGTAAGGCTCAATAAAAGAACACAAAGATGCCTAATGAATAGCCACTCAATTCAGCACAGGAGCACTGATCATGCTCTCCGTCAGGGCAACTACAGTTTCATTCTTCTTCCAAAGCCTAGTGATTAACCTCAGTAGGTCTACAACACAGCTTATTGAATGAATGACTGGACAATAACAATGAAGACTTCCCATAAAAGGGCTTTAAATGCAATAGGAGAAAAACCTGAAAATGTTTAACTTCTTGGTTACATAGGAGACACTGGGGCTCATCTTTTTTAAACCAAAACTGGAACCATTCATGGTAATCAGGTTATAAAACAAAGTTATCGGGCACCTGGGTGGCTCAGTCGGTTAAGCATCCGACTTCGGCTCAGGTCATGACCTCCCTGTTGTGAGTTTGAGCCCTGTGTTGGACTCTGTGCTGACAGCTCAGATCCTGGAGCCTGCGTCGGATTCTGTGTCTCCCTCTTTCCCTGTCCCTCCCCTGCTGGCGCTCTCGCTCTCTCAAAAATAAACATTAAAAAAATAATAATAAAAATAAAACAAAATTCCCAAAAAGTCTAATACTTCATTTTACAAGACATAAAAAAGGGAAGTATGAAATAAGGTAAATGTATCCTCACCTTTTTACTGACCGAAGTTTTACACTGTTCATATCTTTAAGGATCTCTAGCATATTTGGCATATCCGGTTTCTTTGGCCTGCTCTTAACCTGAGTCTTTCCAGCACAGGCTTTTTTCTCTCTTCGTTCTTTTATCAGGTCAATAGCAGATACACTTTGGTGGAGCCCTGGTGTGGGGAGGGGCGGAGGAGGTGGGGGCGGGGGAGGTGGTGGGACAGAGGGTGGGGCCACAGTAACGGATGTGGTCGAATCTAAATCACCTACAGAAATAAGGAAAAATCAATTGAATCTTGATGGTAACAGGCAAATAAAATAAACTTTAACAGCAAAATTATGTTAAGGACTTTTGTATACCTGAAATCAATATGCTTAAAAAAAAAAAAAAAACAACTCCATTATGTAAGTAAAGGAAGTTTCAGTTACTTGGTTAGAATCTTAAATACCCACATCTAATCCCAAACTCTCCAAATGGAAAAGTTCCATTTAACTTAACAGGGGGTGTTTTTGTGATATCAAATGTTGCAGTCTGACCGTTGCACAGTTTGTAACTACTTTTAACTTTTAAACGAAATATGAAACAGTGTGTCCTACCTACACACCTTCAATACAGATGGTCTGACAGTTCAGGACTATAGTAATTATTTGAAAAACCCAACAGATTTGTGGTTCACCTTAAGAATATTTACATAAAGGACTTATTAAGCATTAAAAGTTTTACACGTATTATTATTCAGCAAATTTCTGAAAGAGAAAAGGCGGCATTGTACTTAATTTCCAAAACATTAAGTAACTAAGAGTTAAAGTGGTTACAAAATAAGGACCTAAGAATTCATCTTTCTGCATACTACAATAGTTGTTCATTGGCTGACCTATACTGATTATGGGGGCTCAATGCAAAAGGAATTTTGACTATAAATAGAGCATCTAACATAAATCTCCAAATTATCTCACTATTTACAGCAGTTTTCCAAGTCTGCCAGAAGAGGGAGGTAAAGCAAAAGAGAAATGCAATTTAAAAGCTGAAAGGAAAAAATAAAAGTTAAAAGAAAAGGCAGGACTTCTGGTTTTTAAAGTTACGTGCAAATTTCATTTAATTAACAAATTACTTCTCAAGCACTCGGTGCCAAGTGCATTCGTCCTCTGTCCATCTTGGCCTATCTTGGCTGTACCCAGGTTGGATGAGGTTTCCGTGCCGGATTACATTAAACTCCGGGAGCACAAGTGGCTCAGAGGCAGAATAACTGTCCTTATCTTTTAACCTTCAGAGTTGGCTAATATGGAGTCTAGCCAGGACTCAGGAAGAACGCTAGGAAAAACAACTACTACTTGCCAACAGGCTAATGGGCTAGGATTTCAAGGCTATGGTTTCTTCTCCAAAGTAACAAGGCACACGAATAAAAGCAAACAGTATTAGACCAAGAGTCACAGGACCTGTATTGAGTTTCTACTCTGGGCAAGAGAAGTGACTATTAAGAAGCTACTTTGTGCTAAAGGCATTTTATAGAATCTCCACTTTTACTCCCATAATTACTCTAAGATATAAATACTATTACCCCCATTTTAGAGCAGGAAGGGAGTTAGGCCAAGAACTTGCCTCAGGACATGAAGGTAAGTAAGCAGCACTCAACCCTGTCAGCACCATTTTGAGATTACTTCATGGCTGATAAAATTGGTGCCATTATCACAAAGTTTCCCAGTGCATTCATATGAGCACTAGTTCAACTGTATGAAATTCAGTATTTTCCAAACTCACCCTTTCTGATAGCATCAAAATTGTTCAACAAAAAACACTTAAACCTGACTGGGTCCTGTACTGGACTAAGGAGAGGACTGACCTTTGGTTTTCTAACAACCCCATGGCTGTTATTTGCTAACAGATTTTAAAATTAGTGGCGTTCTCCTAATTTCCAGCTCAATGGTTAAAACAAACATAGGATTTACAGACCTGCAATGAGATTTTGCTGTTCTTGCAGGGTCACAATTTTGGCAATCTGAGCTCTGAGAGCAGCAAGTTCATTTTCAAGGGCACAGATCTTCTGTAGTGCTTCCTCATTTGCCAGTGCTGTCTTCAGTTGAGGCTCTTCTGGAGACAGGTTTGGTAAGGAAAGCTCCCTGCTTGGCGGCTTCTCAAAGAAAGGCAGGCCATCCTGAAGGGGCTGCCTTGATCTGACCTCTGTCCTGCAAGAAAGACAGAAGGTCGGCTGTCACAGGTTTTGCAAGGAAATACAAAAAAATCATCACTGCACACAGTATCTGAGAAATACTTTTCAGACTGACTTTACATAAATCCCCTCCTGTAAGTTTCAAAACAGCAAAGTGCTTGTCAACCTGATGTAGATACATACCAAGCCAGGTTTCTTACTGCCATCATTCTTAACCTCTATAGAATATGCATAAGCCCACACTATCAGGAGGCATCACAGATTCCAACGTTTTTTTCTAACTTCATCTTTTGTTTTGAACTAAGGTAAAAAAAACTTTTAATGCTCTTTAAAAAATGGTGGTTCAGGTGATTAAGCTCACTGAGCATGGCGCCTGCTTGGGATTTTCTCTCTTCTTCTCTGCCCCTCCCCCGCTCGCTCACGTGCACTCTCATTATTTCTCAAAAGTAAATAAACTTTATTTTTAAAAATGGCAAACTAATTACTGGTTATATTTGACAACAAAATCAAACCAGTAATACATTAGCCTTTCACCAGGGTTTTGGCTTCTGCATTTCACTGTTATTGTTTTCCGTGTATGACAATACAAATCGCAAGACACAGTGTAACAATATGGGCCAAATACAGCAGGAGAAACCGAAAAGGAGGGAGAAGAATCAACTGAACCCATGCACTAACTATACACACATCCTCATTTTCACTTGGGTGTAAAGGTTTTTAATATGCATTTCTCCATAGTTCCAAATGTTAAGTCTTTTGAGGCTAAGAATAAAATTCAGATGTCTTTTCAACTGTCAATTTATATACTCAGCTATTTCCTACAATTAGATTTTCTGGGCCTCTAAGCCCTTTTTCCTTCCAACTTCATTGAGCTAAAATTGACAACTGTATTTATTTAAGGTGTGCAGCATGATGACTTACGTACACACGTGGAAGTAATCACTACAATCAAGTTAATGAGCGTATCCCAGTTTCCCTCACAGTTTCACGCGGTCATGTCTGAGTTCTGGCGAACAAGATGTCGGCAGATGTTGATAAGCCATCTAGGAAAGCTGTTTACAAGGAGAGGACTCCAGGAGAAAGTCCTTTCATCTGTAGCTCCACCCACTCGCTCCTCCTGAGCCTTGAGTACAAGGTGATGGCTGGACTTGAGAGTCACAGACAACCAAAAGCTAACCTGAATGCAGAAGTCAATGCTAATGATGGCAGGGAGCCTGGCTGGGTCCCTGTGGACACTGTAGAGCCACTGTCAGCTTCAGACTATCTACTATGGATGTGTTTGATTTGAGAGAAATAAACCTCCATCCTCTAGAAGTCACCATTTTGGGGGGCATCTCTGTTAAATGTAGTCGAACCTAATCCTGTTATACAACCATCATTAAACTCCATTTTATCTTCTATTTTAACTGGACATTGGTATTTTATTTTTGCTGGAGAGCTGTTACAATTCTTCATTCTACCTTATGTTCTAAATGAAGGAATTCTTGGGGTGCCTGGGTGGCTCAGTCAGTTAAATGTCTGACTGGATTTCAGCTCAGGTCATGATCTCACCATTTGTGACCTGAGCCGAAATCGAGGCTCTGTGCTGACAGCATGGAGCCTGCTTGAATGGGATTCTCTCTCTCTCTCTCTCTCTCTCTCTCTCTCTGCCCCTCCCCCACTTGTATTCACTCACTCTATCTCAAAATAAATAAACTCAAAAAAAACATAAATGAAGGAATTCTTGGACCCTTACCTTTTGGTATTCACTGAATTCTGATGGTTTTCTTCCTATCTAACTTTGCTCATACTCTATTAAATTTACTGTACATAGAGAATGCTTATAAATTATTTACCTGTAATATTTTTTTTTAAATTGTCCAGAACTGACAGTGTTTTTTGTTTTTTTTGTTTAAATGTTTGAGAGAGAGAGAGAAGAGGGAGGGAGGGAGGGAGGGAGGGAGGGAAGGAAAGAGAGAGAGGGAGACAGAATCCCAAGCAGGCTCCACACTGTCAGTGCAGAGCCCGATGCGGGCTCAAACCCATGAACCGTGACATCATGACCAGAGCTGAAATCAAGAGTGGGACGCTTATCCAACTGAGCCACCCAGGCGCCCCTACCTGTAATATTACTAAAGAAAAATATTTGGAGAATAAAGGTCCCAGTTGTTACCTCACCTTAGCTTAGATAGCAAGAAACTTTAATAATATTAACTTTATTAATTTTATTTAATTTGGAGTATCTATGAGCTAGAGAAAATGTGTGGCTTACAAAGCTTCAATTACCACTCCCTTTCTTACTGCCACACTGGGAAGAAATAGGTGATGAAATTTTTTAAAAAGTACATGAAGGTTAAACAATAGTAAAACCTTCTCTCAGGAACACTATGTTCTGATTAAACAGATTAATATGCTCTTTCAAAGATTATATGTTACAAAAGTTACAGATTAGATGCATGTGCTCTAATCACCTGGAATAAAGAAAGTAATTTTATTAAGACATTAAAATTTTTGGGGCACCTGGGTGGCACAGTCGGTTAAGCGTCTGACTTCAGCCAGGTCACGATCTCGCGGTCCGTGAGTTCGAGCCCCGCGTCGGGCTCTTGGGCTGATGGCTCAGAGCCTGGAGCCTGTTTCCGATTCTGTGTCTCCCTCTCTCTCTGCCCCTCCCCCGTTCATGCTCTGTCTCTCTCTGTCCCAAAAATAAATAAACGTTGAAAAAAAAAATTTTTTTTAAATAAAAAAAAATAAAAAATAAATAAAAAAATAAAATTTTTAAAAATCACGGTGGCTTTCTGTTGATACCACAGGCTAAATTCTGATTTCTGCTTATCTTTCATAAGGTAGGTCAAATAATTTTGTTAATCAGCTCCATACAATAAATAGAGTTTCAAGTAGACAGAAATCAATCCAGTGAATGAAGTTTTTGGGGGGAACATTTACATGGAGGAATTATATTTAATACCAGTATAATGTCCAGGATTCTTATTTAACTTAATATGTTTCCTCAACTATATTCCTGATAACTTATGTTTTTAATAAAAAAGAACACGACAATGAATTTTTAAAAAACTACTCCTTGAAAGAACTAGGGAAACTGCTGATAGGTAAGAGAGTGGTACTGACAGAACTCTGGTCCTTGGAAGAGATTTGGACAAAATACAGAAATCTCAAATGTAGGGGCACTTGGGTGGCCCACTCAGTTAAGCATCTGACTTTGGCTCAGGTCATGATCTCAGGGTTCATGGGTTTGAGCCCACATCTGGCTCTGTGCTGACAGCTCGGAGCCTGAAGCCTGCTTCGGATTCTGTGTCTCCCTCTCTCTCTGCCCCTCCCCCATTTGCTTTCTGTCTGGCTCTCTCAAAAATAAATAAAATGCTTTAAAAAAAATTTTTTTTTAAATAAAAGAAATCTCAGGGGCGCCTGGGTGGCGCAGTCAGTTAAGCGTCCGACTTCAGCCAGGTCACGATCTCGCGGTCCGGGAGTTCGAGCCCCGCGTCGGGCTCTGGGCTGCTGGCTCAGAGCCTGGACCCTGTTTCTGATTCTGCGTCTCCCTCTCTCTCTGCCCCTCCCCCGTTCATGCTCTGTCTCTCTCTGTCCCAAAAAAATAAATAAACGTTAAAAAAAAAAAAAAAAAGAAAGAAATCTCAAGTGTAGAAGTCGAGTATCACACTTGTTCAAAACAAGAGTATAGAAAGATCGAAGAGTAGTAGTAACAGACTGAGTTTAAAGGAAGAGAGTGACCAGAAGCACAGTGTCTCAGGACAGGAAGAAAGCCACTGCCATGGGATGGGCATCAAGGGAGGGGCATCTAACGGGTGACAACTGGAGTGGAATTGAGAAGAGAGGAGAAGAAACACAGAGCCTGTGGACTCATCTCTATCCCCATATCTTCCATTTTCTATCAAAGTTCAGCTTTGCTTTAATAAAATGAACTTAAAAGAATGAGTATGTTCAGGGCGCCTGGGTGGCTCAGTCGGTTAAGTGTCCGACTTTGGCTCAGGTCACGATCTTGTGGTTCACGAGTTCGAGCCCCGCGTCGGGCTCTGGGCTGACAGCTCGGAGCCTGGAGCCTGCTTCGGATTCTGTGTCTCCCTCTCTCTGACCCTCCCCCATTCATGCTCTGTCTCTCTTGGTCTCAAAAATAAATAAATGTTAAAAAAAATTTTTAAAAAAGTGTTTAAAAAAAAGGACGAGTATGTTCATATCTGGGGGTGGAAGTAAGAACAATGGTTTGTTTTCCTATTATGTACGAGTGCAAACATTTCAGGAAGTTGATACAATAACAGCACATAAAGTAAAATTTTGGATACCAGAATATTCAGTGCTACTAATAAAAAAATGACATTATAATACTGTTATTCAAGAACCAGTGGTGGGGTGCCTAGGTGGTTCACCTGGTTAAGCATCAGACTCATGGTTTTGGCTCAGGTCATGATCTCATAGTTCGTTATGATCGAGCCCCATGTCAGGCTCTGCACTGATAGTTTGGAGCCTGCTTCAGATTCTCTCTCTCCCTCTCTCTCTCTGCCCTTCCCCCTGCTTGTGTGCTTGCTCGCTCTCTCTCTCTCTCAAAAATAAACATTAAAAAAAAGAGAGAAGAAGAACTAGTGTCTTTGAATTTTTTTTTTTTTAAGTTTTATTTAAGTAATCTCTACACCCGTCCTGGGGCTCAAATTCATGACCCTGAGAATAAGAGTCACATGCTCTTCTGACTGAGCCAGCCAGGCTAGGTCACTTTAGTAGAGAATGTATTCCTCCACGGGAATCTACCCCAAAAACCAAGAGCACACTTTACACATTGTATGTTAGCTAATTTGACATTAAATTATATTTAAAAAAAAATCTTGGCAGATAAAAAAAAGAATATATTCCCACCTCAAATTCTCCCATACATCTCAAGATCCACAAGTATTATTCTAAGTTTGTCTTAAAATGTTATTCAAGTAAGCCAAAGTTCAAATCCCATGAGCATTTACTCTTCAATATCCAGAATTAGAACAAGATAATATGGCAATTTGGATTAAGAGATCAATTTATCAACAAGTCACTTTTGAACAGCTTACTTTCTTTAAAATATCTTCCTGCCAAAATAAATTGTAAGAGAGAATGAATGTTGAACAGCAACCACAACGTTAAAAAAAAGAATTAAGTAATTATTACATCTACCCATAACTCCTAGAGATGAATTTTTCCATTTTGATTTTCCATCTACTGAGAATTAAGGACAAAGCCCTCATTACTATTAATCTTGAAAATCAGTGTGCCAGAATAAGAGAAAAAAAGTCTAGGCCTTTAGCAAAATGATTTAAAAATAACAGTGTCAGATAATCTGTATTTTATGTCTGTTCTATTTTTCTAAATTTGATGATATAGATTCTGCATTTCCTTATGTGAAATACTGTTAACAGTATTCACAAAGTTCAAACAAAGTAATTATAGGAAATGTGGAAGTTTAAATGTGGATTTTTAGAAGCTGAAAAAGGAAAGTAATCCTGAAGTCATCATGTCTTCTCAAAGACACAGAAAGATTGGACATTTATAGGAACTTAAGAATCAAAAAAAAAAACAAAAAGTTCTCTGTAATATTCTTGTGTGTGGAAAAGATTTACATTTTATGAAATTCTCAGACATGTCCCTTCCTTTAAAATTACAGCCTTTTCCCACAGACATGTTCTTTTAAAAAATTTTTTTAATGTTTGTTTATTTTTGAGAGAGAGAGAGAGCATAAGCAGGGAAGGGGCAGAGAGAGAGGGAGGCACAGAATCCAAATCAGGCTCCAGGTTCTGAGCCATCAGCACAGAGCCTGACACGGGGCTCGAACCCACACGCTGTGAGATCATGACCTGAGCTGAAGTCGGACGCTTAACCGACTGAGCCACCCAGGTGCCCCTCCCACAGACATGTTCTATAAGACATTCAACAAATCATTCTCAGAACCACTATGTTTTGCCTTATTCAGAGGGCTATTAAGAGCTAGAATGTAGAGGCAGAATGAATCCAAAGAGAAATAATCCCTTATAAAATCTGTATGTATAATTCTGAGATACTTTTAAGAAACAAAAACAAAAGAAGCATCAAATATCGATGCCCCAAAAGCAAAAGACAGACAAATCAGGATTGTCTCTTAAAAACCATTTTCTGCATCCCAACTTTTACCGGTCAGATTTCTACCATTTTCGTTTGATGTGGGCTCCAAAATGCCTTATGGCAAAAAGGAACAGGCTCCTGTTCACAGTGGCAATGCACAAGAATTTTCTCTTTTTTTCTTATCCCAATATTATCAAGGGCAGCCACTTTTGGAGTACAACTTAGATGAATATGAAGGGCTTTTTAAGCTCCGCTGACCATTTCAAAGAAAATTCTAAATTAAATATAATGCACCTCTGAGGTCCTTTTTCTCCTGATCACACAGTAAAAG